CATAGTTTCTTGTTACAGAAACATTTCTGAGCAAGACAGGGCAAGGACCCCTGACTTTCTGCTTGTGTTTGCCTGGAACAATTTCTTTGGTGTGATTCTTCCCCAAGGGGGCAAGACCTCCACCAGCCAAGCTGTTCAAAGTTGTCCTGTGCATTCTTATTGAGGGAAATAAGAAAGCAATCCTCCTGGAGCATTTGTTTATCACCTGCCAAACCCTCAGTTGGGTATCTGATGTTTTTGAGGAGAGCTCCTTCTCTATACATAAGTATGGGACTTAGAAAGAATGTAAAGTATGTGTGTTTTAGGATTTAGTGTGTTAACTTTTGCAATATTGTATTAAAAGTCAAATATATAGTGAGCTAACATCATAAAACTCCATATAGGAAACATGTCCTAAAATCAGTTGCAGTAATTTAAATTCTATTGGCTTAGTGTGATCATTCTGAATATTTATATTCTTTATATCATTCTTTAATTCATGCTTCAAGTCATTTTAATTGTTCATTTGAGCTACTTGTTTAAATTGGTTTTCATTTTCATTTTTGGGTTATATGGGTGGCTTTGATTGCCCTAGGGCTGAAGTGATAAAGTATAAATTGAAGTAATAATAATACAAATATTTGTTGTTAATATAAATGTTGGCATTTGGAACAGCTTTCAGTGGGAATCAGATTGGCTTCCTCCCCTCCCTCCCTGATTGCATGAAGAAAATGTTGTAGTTAATACATTAATGCCTATATTGATTCAACATGATGGTATACACTATCAGTCTGTTATGTTTTATTGATATTAGCTATTTTAAAATTAGCTACTGTTGATGTTTCAGTAATTTTCTATATATCTTGTAAATCATTAAAGGATGCATTTAATCGTTGTGGGATATAAATACAAAACAAACAAATAAGCTCAAATCTGATTTAATCCCCAGAAAAAGATATAGGAATTTCCTCAATTTCTCTCATACGTTCTTTCTAGAATTAGACAGCCATTTGTCTGAAATGGTGTAGGGTTCTTGCCTGAGCAAGGGGTTGGACTCGATGACCTCCAAGGTCCCTTCCAACTTTATTATTATTATTATTATTATTATTATTATTATTATTATTATTATTATTATTATTATTATTATTATTATTATTATCATTATTATTAATTAGATTTACAGTTTTCAGCTGAGGATGATTGCTAGTATCTGAATAAGAATCAAATCCCCCCCCCCGCTCCCCCTGAATTGGAGGAATATTTATCTTGAACAATGTCATGAATGAGACTAATAACTGTTTGCTTTTTTTCTCTCTCTCTCTCTCTAGAGAGATGATGGTAGCGATGGTAGTTTGAGTGATAGTCACATATCTCCTCCAGCCAAACGTACCTTGAAACATGCTGATTCTGTATGCAAAGACAAATCAAAATCTCGCAGTACTGGACAGCGAGAGGAATGGAATGTCTCAACTGGTCAGTCCCGGTAAGCATATTCAAGTTTTTAAAAACCTGTGGGTGGGTGTGCACGCACGCGTGGACTCACACATATACAATTTTGATCATTTTCTTAAATAGCTTCAATTATTGATTAATGCAAAATCTTTACTCTCTTTAAAGAAAAATTTCTGCTCCTTAAAATAGCCTCCTTATATCAGGTTCTGTTCCAGCCTATGTACTAAAATCAATTGTATGCTGCAGAGAAAGGAACAACTAAATTTGGGATGCTATTTTTGTTCTCACTCCCATCCCATCTTTCTCATCATGTGTAATTCATCATTAGTAACTGATTTTAGGCAGATATTCCGACTTCATGCAAAAGTGCATGAGGGACAGCTTGTTCCAGTTTCCTCCCTTCTCCCCTCCCCCCCAAAAAACTTTATTTTAGATGACAAACTTTGTGGGAAAGAAAAAGAGCAACTCCATCTGTTGCTTACATTAAGACATCTGGAATTCCTAGTGATTAGAGTACAGTTTTGTCTGTTCCATGTATATAGTATTATGTTAATAAGTTTAACTAGTTCCATGTTTTCTTCAGCAACAGAAAGCCAGGTTTGTTTCTGCTACAAATTAATAGCTTTTTCTGCTGTTAATTCCAAATTTGATCTGTGAGATTGCTCCCTGGCAATTACATAGTTTAACCAATGTGACACACACAATTAGGCTTTGGAGTTGAATTGACCAAACATTATTTATGATTCTTTTCAGCATGTGTTACTTGTTCTGCAGGAAAGAGGACAAATGTTACTTTAAACAAAGATAAAACAAAGTTTAGAGTTGATAGATAGTTGTTAAAATTATTATATTACGTATCTGGAACTGCATGAATGAATGCTAATATTTCTGATTCCCCACTTTAAAATCTGAAATGGGACAATGTACACTTCAAAATGACCATCATGCCTAATGAAATTTCCATTATTTATGAACATTTAAGCATGAATTGTGTGAAATCAGAAATGAAAGGCTCATAGATTTTTTTAAAAAATGCAATTGCTAAATATTATTAATCTTGATAAATAATTTTCCATAATGTTTATGCTACTTAGAGCCAATATCTAAATATCCTTCTATTTTGTTATCCTATTGCTGAGAGAATCAGTTTGGAATAATGATGGTGGTGGTGATATATACTGTATATATATATATATATACTCTCCCCAAGAGAGAAACATAAGACAATGTAATTCCCCCTCCTTTTTTAAAAGCCAGCGTCCATATGTTTTAAGCTAGAATTCTACTATTATACATTTAAAAATACAACTAATACTTAGTCTCTGGAAAGGAAAAATTAAGAGCTCTTATTTCTGTGGTGAGCTCTAAATCCTGTATTCTTCAAAATTTGTTTGAACAGGCACATTTTGTGTGTATGTGTGTGTTTCCTGATTTCTGTGGTAAGAATACTCAAAGATGATACATTCACTTCTCTTTCTCTGCTGTTTTGATTGCAGCAATACTTATAATGGCAACATCAGTTTAAAACTAGCATTCATTTGTAGTATTGGCATGGAGGATACACTGGGAAGAGGATACAGGAAGTCCTCAAATTATGATCAGTTGCTTAACGACCGAAGTTATGACAGACCCCCGAAAAGCTACTTATCACCCATTTTTTAACTTCTGACATCATGTGCACACACATACACATGCACACACCACAGTCACATGGTCAAATTTTGCGCACTTGGCAACTGACCCACATTTACAGCCGCTTACAGCACTCCATATCATGTATTTGCAAGTACAACTGCTTTCTGGAAGCCAACATTTACTTCTGGTTTCTGGGATAAAACACCCCATAGCAAACAATGGGTTCACTTAACAATCACAGTGTTTGCTTAACAATCTTTATATTCGCCTTATAACTGTTTCTTTCCCCTTACAACTGCTGCATTCGCTTAATGACCATTGTAAAAAAAATTGTCAAATCGGTTATCCTATAATGATCTGCTTTATGATGGACACAGCCCATGGCCATAATTGCCAGGCTCAATTACAATCATAAATTGAGGACTACTTGTACAGAAAAGAATGAAAACTTTGGTGCTGATATCCCTGTTTATCCTTAGATGCTGGGTTTAATGTAAAAATTATGCATGTGGGAACTTGTGAATGCGAATTTCCTAATCATGGTAGGGTTATAAGTGCATTCACCTGAATATTTTTACAGACATGTTTCATAGCTTTGCATCAAAAACAAACATTTCTAATTCAGTAGAATTGAATTGAATACTGAATTGGAAAGCGACCTCACAAAAGAAGAAGGCTAGAGTCAGATTTAAGAGACTCGATTCGACTTACCAGATGGAGTACTATATGATTAAACACCTGTTTGAATACAGTTAAAAGAATAGATAGTTTAGATATAAAGGGGCCCTATAGTAAGAGGGATAAGATATATAAGTAGTATAATACTTTTTACAATACCTGAAATGTAAAAATATTGGGATGGTGTATGTGAATGAAAAGTTTGGATATTTAAAGGTAATTTTGAGAAAATTATGACTGATAAGAGTGGTTTGAATACAGTGGGGAAATTAAGCTTAAATAAGAATCTTGAAAACAGGACACATAATGACACTAAGATGACTTTTATAAATACAACTGAAATATAAGCTGATTAAAAAAGATATATGTTGATGTTATTGTTGTACAAATACTAGAAAAATGTTTATACTCAACCTTGTATGTATTGAAAATATTAAGAATTATATTTGTTTAATGCAGACAAAAGGAGAATACTACTGGAAGAAGAGAAGATCAAGGAAATATATCATTGACTAACATATTGATTAATTATAGAAATTAATTATTATTGATTGTTTTTAAATATGTGAACCCTGACAACACACGGTTTGCTAAGCACTAGGGATTGTTATCGTACAAAAATCAATAAAATATAATAAAAAAACAAAAACATTTCTTCAGTCTGACTGGATTTATTATAGCATTGGTGATGGGATATACATATACATCCAGTGGTGTATTAGAGCTGGCTTGTATTGCTTGTGAGAGCCTATTGTTAAATTTTCTAGAATTTTGCGAGCCAGTAGATAGCAGAGCTGAGTTACTATATCCAGTATTGTGTCAATTAGCTGTTAGGCAGCTAGTAGTACAGCCAAGTGGTAGCAATGAAGCCAGCAGAGCCAGTTGTTATGCGTTTACCAGCACACCACTGTATATATCTACATCCTCTTTTCAGTTTAACTCCTTGGCTATTATGGAAAGTAAATTATTCAAAGTTTTTAAGTTACAAATTCTTTCTGTGATAATGTTGCATTTTGCAGTAGTAGCTAAAGCATAGTAAAAATGAAAAAAAAATCAAGCTTTTGATTATTGCCATTTTCCATCTCATAATTGATATAGTAGATATTACTCTATTTGTAATATTAGTACTATTTGTAACATTAGTTTTAGTTAGCTCTTTCCACAACTAAAAGCAAATCCCTGTTATTAGGTAAGTACACAAAATGGAAGGGGAAAAAATGTCCTGGGTTGGAATAAATCAATCCAATTTAAAATGTTTCATTCAAATATTTCTTGTATTCCATCTTTGAATGGAAGACAATTTGAAAGATGTTGAATGTTCTACAATAGAAAACAGTACAAAATCAAAATAAATCTCTTTACTCCCTTATTTTTTTTATCTTAGAACCATTAAAGTAGGTTATTAGGTTGGGCGGTAGGTAAATTTACAATAGGTTTGCACAGGCTTAAGACAAAATTCTAGAATAAGAATTGTTTCATTGATCTGGGCATATTCAAACTGCAGTTTGGGAGTCTGAATGTTTTTTGATCCCTATCATTTTATGTAACTTTCTCTAAATTACCTTTCAGACTAAGGAAAATAAATTTAGCTGCTTTTGATAATGCTGAGAAACATGTTACTTTCAATTTTGTATTGTGACTGTGAGGTAGGGCCCTACTTCAGCTTGAAAGTATTCTGCTTTCTTTTCAAATAAAAAAAATATACTCTGCATTATAGCACTGGAACATATAAACTGATTAACGTAAACTAATTAAATTTTTCTTTTATAATAGATATTTTCTTTTCAAATATTTGCATTTGAAAGCATTTATCACATTAGCATATAAATTATAAATGTTGTATTGAGTAGCCTGAGATGGTTTCAAGCATGATGGTAGATCAACATAAATCATTATTTCAAAGGAATGAACTGACTAGCCTAAACCTTACTAGCTTGAATGCTTTCTAGAAGGGTAAAAAAATTAGGAATGCTAAACTTCATTAAGTGAATACCAAATTCAAAGACTGATATCGGGCTTTCTCATTGATGACTTTAAACCAGAGGTGGATAACTTGAGTCCTCCAAGCTGCGCAAAGTTTCTGGAAGCAGATATGGTTCTAGAGATATTCTAAAAGTTATCATTAAATTGACTGAATAATTTAATTCAACTCAAAAGTAAAATACATTGCATTTTTTGTCTTGGCCTTGTCTATCATTTGAAAGTAGTCTCCTGTGTGGTCCTCTGTAATGAAAAAAAATTCACTTTCCTGCTTTCCGTGAATTGTTAATTTTGCTCCATCTCCTCATTTATAGAAGCTGCATAAAAATTACTTAACAGTTTTAAAACACACAGATGGGTAATAAATATTCATATCACGTGTAGAGTTGAAGTTATAACATAATTTATATTCAATATGTAACACTTGGGAATAGAAATATTATAAATATTATGTGAATTGTAATTTTAATGCAACCAGCTAATTTTCCAAATTAAATTGTTCTTAGGTTAACTTCTCAATCTGGTGCTACTCTACCAAATGGTCGTAGCTTATGTAAGTACTGCATAGTTAAATTGCTTATTCTGATGCTTATTAACACTTGTATATTTTTAATTTTCTTTCTGCAACCCGAACTTTTCAATATGCAATATTACTTTTTTCAGTGCAAAAAGTAAAAAAAAAAGCTACATTCATTGTTCCATGACTAAGTACCCGTGTGTTAAACTGGCCTCATTTATTTCCATTTTCTTGTTCCTGGCTCCGTGCTGTCTAATTCTAGTTGGGCTGCACCCCAAATCCCTCAAAGCAAATTTGGCATGAAGACTGCAGAGTAATATATATTTATCATTAAAATTGAATTTTTTTAAAATAAAATAGCATGACTATGTATGTCTGTGAGTGTAAATATTTTACACATTTTTTTCCTTTCTAATCATAAGACTGGGTAGCTCATTCATGTAAATGCCATTAAAACGACAGCAACGGTATAAACCCAACATGGTACACATTTGCAACAGTCCATGCACTTTGTTATAGACATTCTAAATACTTAATATTTCTCAGTGTTAATATTATAACTTGAAATTTGCAGCTCTCAAAAGCTGTTCTCTTCGAGGAGAAAAAAAGGGAGATGGTGACCATGCCTGTATAAATGGAGGCAGAGAAATTAGAAAAAGTTGTCGATCTAGAAAAAACAGATTTGAAAGTCTGAATCAGAGTTTACTGTTTGACCAATTGGTAAACAGGTATGTTGGAATACTATATACAATAATAATAATACAGTAATAATAGTGTATAATTTCATGGTATTGTTAAAATTATGTTTGTGTTATATTTCAGTCTATGAGAAGCATTTTATTTATATATTTAACCAAAGAGGTCCCCTAATTTGAATATTCAGCTTCCAAACTCCTTAATACTTTATTTTTATCTCATGCTGGCAAGAAAGATATATTCTGTTATATGGCCTAGGATTTATCGGTGAGCACACTAGTAGATCTTGCTTACTGACTGCCTTGTGCATTGACTGTTCAAAGTTACAGGGGTGCTGAAAAAATGACTTTGTGACTTGATTTATGATCTTCATTTATTTATGATCTTCACAGCATCTTTCTCTCTCTCTCTCTCCCTCTCTCTCTCTCTCTCTCTCTCTTAGTTACGTGTTTGCCATTATAACCAGCTAGCATGTATTGTCCTGTGTCTGACCTGTTGTTTTTCCTCCTATCCCTAGAATGGACAGATTGCAGAGAAGGGATTCAAGAGAAAAAGCAGGCACATAATGTGGATACATATAAAAAAGAATGCATTAGCACGGGGGAAGCATTAATTCCCTTATTGCTAATTATTCTAGTGCTGACCTAAGCATTACAAAAGGTGGGGGAAAAGGAAAGCTGAAATAAAATCAGAAACACACTTGCTGTCATGATTTTCCATTTAGCGGTTGAGTTTCCAGTCTCAATTGTTGTCACTAAACAAGGACTACCTATATCAATATTTTGTATCTGCACCATACAATAGCAAATACATATTAATTTCTTTTAGGTATACTACAATAAACAAGAGTTTTTGAATTTTTACTTCTCTTAGTAGGAACTGCTTGCTGTAAATTATATAATCAAATTTCAAAACTATGCTTTAGCTTATTCATTTTATAATTTTAGCATAATTGCTGAAAGGACAGGGGTGTCAAACTGCCGGCCCGCGGGCCAGATGCATCACAAGGAAACCGCGCCCACCCCATTGCCGTCAATGGGGGAAAAGGTCCGATACATCGTGCGACGTCACGTGACGTCGCGAGTTTGACATGTCTGTCTTAGGAGAAGATTGTACATTGTTTATAACATAAATAAGCAAAAGAAATCTTTACAAGTTATTTCATACAGGTATCTTCCCTTACCAATGGTATTTGGGAATGGAAACTCCATTGCTAAGATGCAGTTGTAAGACACAAAGACTCATGCCCACATTGACTTATGATGGCAGTTCTAGCAGTCCCGTTTGTCATTGTTTGGTTGCAGCATCCCAGGTTCACCTGACCGCCCATTGCAACCTCCTGCTGGCTCCCCATTGACTTTGCTTGTCAGAACTATGACATAATTGCGAGTCAGTTGGCAAGTGCCTGAATTGTGATCTTGGAGATATTGCAATGGCTGCAACTACAAGGACCTCAAGTGCCTGAATCGTGATCAGGTGAATGCAGGGAATGTTGCAATGGCTATAACTACAAGGACCTACCATAAATAGCCCTCTTTCAGTGCCATCATGATTTTGAATGGTTGCTGAATGAGTGGACATTAAACAAGGATTATATGTATCTGCGGTGGATATTTAACACACCTGTTAAAATGCCAGATTTTTGAGATGTAAAAGAAAATCAGACCAAGACAAGTCACTTCAGGTTTTTTTTCCACCTTTAATAACAATAAATATCTAAAGCCTTGGAGATTTTTTTTATACCCTTCTCCTGACTGATAGCTTCCAAAAATGAGATCTCCTTGATGTTTTGTAAGCTCTTTGCAGACCATGGCTTTTGCTGCAAGAGGCAACTGAATAAATGTCAGAAGAATATCCTATATATGGGCTTGATCAGAGTCACTTTAATTGGTGGCAGGTGTGTACTGACTACTATTTAGTCAGTTTGAATGTGATTAATTCTGAACACAGCCATATGTGTGCCACTTATAAGTGGGTGTGCTCACTTATGCAAACACATTATTGTATGTTTTTATTGTTATTTTTCCCCCTAAAAGAATTCAGTTTGTTTTTCAATTGAATTGTACAGCTTATATGATTAATCTTGGTAAGATTTTTTTTACATCTCAAAAATCTGGCATTTTAAAAGGGTGTGTAGAGTTTTTGTGTTTTCTACTAGCAGACTTCATTTACTGGACCAAAATCTTCCAAGGATCATAAGGGACCCTTATTTAATTTTAAACATATTTAATTATGGATCCAGCTTATTGTATTTACTTAAAATATCACAAGGCAGTTGTCACATATTTGACTTTGGGCCAGTCACTATCTCTCTCAGCCCAAGTCATCTCATAGAGTTATTGATGTGGGGAAAACAGGGGGAGGAGAGAGTATTGCATGTGTTGAGTTATCTATAAAAATTATAAAGGCAGAATATATAAGTCAATAAATTACTACCATTTTTCTATGTTAGTACTGCTGAAGCTGTTCTTCAGGAAATGGACAATATTAACATCAGACGGAATAGGCGATCAGGTGAAGTGGAACGGTTGCGTATGTGGACAGATACTGAATTTGTAAGTTTCTCATCTCATTTTTTTTGCTTACATTTTGTTTTTGAGTATGTTATAGCCTAGCATTGAAAGCACTTGTTAATAAAAGTGGATCAAATGGATTTTGAATATTCTATATACAGTTTTCAATCCTTATAAGAGGAACAGAAGGGAAATAGGAAGCGATGCAGCTGGCTAGGGAGAAAACAGGTGTCAACGTAGTATTAACAATAACTCATAATAAGTTACATGGGTTCTGGTGGATTATATGGTAGTCAGCCATCTGTAAGTCAGTATGATTAATGCAAAACAGTCCCCATCTACATATACATGTTTTACTGGTTAGCATTCAGGACTTCTGACTCCCTAGGTTCCTTTAAATAGTAACAACTGATATCCAAAATCAAGTTGCAGGAACAGGAAAAACACCTCCTCTGTCTTATCTGTTGCAACTTTGGAGACTTGCACAACCGCTAAAATGCTGTGGTGGATGAGTGGCTAAATGGAAGCTAGCTGATGAGGCAACAAGGCTTTCCCTTCTATGAGCTGGCCAGCTTGCAACAGCCCCGCCCTTCCCAGCCACCTTATTGGCTGCTGGGAAGCTGTAGCTCTGAGTGGTAGAATTCCTGAGTCTCTGGCTCATATCTGTAGATTCCAGCTCTTGAGGCAGCAACAACCTGTGCCTGACATTGCCACATGGTGGCAAGACCAGAGAATTGTAACCAGCTAGTCAGAGTGCCTTGCTTGCTGTGAGTTCTACAGTGCTGATTGTGTCTCCGTTGTCTCCAGATGTGGGCACTTATTCAAGAACAGATGCGCTCCCTTCTTATAAAATCAAATATTTCTATGTGCCAAATAGATACAATAACTGAATTATTTTGTGAATCCTCCCATGCATTCTTTTATAGCTCCTAAGATAAAAGCAGAACACTCGGTGCTCTGATCAGGATGTCAAATAAAGATACTTACGTTTGTTTAGCCTATGATTTTAGCATCTCTCTCTTGCATACATGCAGGTTCTCTCACTAAAATACTTGTTATGACTTATCAGAATTTGGTTAGCTATATAGTTTGGAAGCTACATGTATATTTAGCGGCTAGCAATGCAGATCATTCTTGAGGTTTTTATTTCAGGAAAACATGGATATGTACTCAAGAGTGAAAAGAAGGAGGAAATCATTAAGGAGAAATAGCTATGGAATCCAGAACCACCACGAGGTTTCCACAGAAGGCGAAGAAGAAGGTAATGGTGATAGTAATTTGACAGCTACTTTGATAAATAAAAGTGAAAAATTATTTGAGTTCTTAATAGTCTGGAAAAACTGTTATTAATCAAACTATACAGTTTTCACTGGATACCAACAGACAGATCTTCTTCAGTTATGGATTCAAGCCTTGGTAATCCCTTCATGGCTTGATAAATTCTAATCAGTGTTTTTTTTTTTCCCCCCCATCAGACATTCATTTTATGGTCCTTTGGAATGAATTGTGCAGGATTCTGATTGAAAACATCTTTGCTGCTTGGCCTTTCTTGTCATTTTATAGTTCGGATTTTGAAATTGTAATAGCTTTTTCATGTGTTCAAAGTCTCATAGATCTCCTTATAATACGGAAAGAAATGTTTAAATTACCAATATATTACTTTCAATAAAGTTCATTCTGGAATATTGCAAACGATCCAAATCGGTGCCCTTTAATGGATATTATGCAAATCACCTTAGTTCACTTTTATAAATATTTAATGGGATTTTTCTAGAATCTCAAGAAGAAGACGGGGATATTGAAGCAGAGGAGGCAGAGGGTGAAGAAAATGATCGTCCATATAATCTCAGACAAAGAAAAACAGTAGAAAGATATCAAGCGCCTCCTATAGGTAAGATTTTTAAAAATTATTTATGTAACTGAAATAACTTGATTCAGCAATATCTTACCTTTGTTAGAGTATTCGATTAGAACTAGGTGGATCCCGGATCAACTTCATAATTATAAAGTTAAGCCAACGATCGTTCCTCTAAATTTAATTTATTTAATGTTAGGATTAAATAGGATAAAATGGCTGAAGGAAGAATCATTATCTGCTACTTGAAGCCTCTGTGAGAAAATGTGTAGGAAAAGAAATAAATAATATTCTACCTCTTCTCTGAGTGTTATTTTTTCCCCTTTTTTTGCAGTTGAACATAGAGTATAAAGGGAGATTTCTATAACAGTTGATAGTTTGGGCTGTTACTGTTTTGAACAGGTACTTAAGGTAGCATCTTATGTGTCCTGTATTTTCCTTTCTTTGATTTACTTATTGAAAAAAGTAGATATAGTCCTGTTTGTGGTTATGTTTACATGACCACCAAGAGCTGTTTGATTGTGCCAGAATGTAAATATAATAAATAAATGAATAATTCTGCCACAGTCCCTACTTGATAAAATTAGAAATGCCTCTAAGA